CAGTCATATGTTTGGAGCAACCGCTATCCAAAATTCACCTATCTTTCTTGGGCACCTGAAATGATAAACATTTACAAATTTGGTACTCATGCTATGTTGGGTCCATGAAATTAGCCTTTAAGAAACCAAACCCATGAAGAGTTTGATTTGCCTAAATAGTTAGCTGATAAACAAACATTTTTAATATAATCAGAAATATAAAATTTTTTATGTAAAGAAGTTAATTCTTTAGGTACCCAAATAGAAAAGAATTTTGATTTCTTTTTACATAAATCATTATTTCTATGTTCATGCAAATTACAGGAAGGTTTTACAAAAATAGTTTTCTTAGATATATTTCTATTAACTTGAAAACCTAAACCTTTTGTCTTTTGATATTCTTTTTGAAAAGAAAGTATATTATTAATATTTTCTTTACCTTTATTGAATTTACTAACATTCAAACATATATCATCATATTTTAATTTAATAGAAGAAATATCTTTATCTAAACTATTAATGCGAATATTTAAATTATTACATTCTGATTTTAGATAAACGTTCTCATTAGATAAATATTGATTTTCTTTAAGCAAGGAATAATTTTCTTCTTTTAATTGAATTACTTGAGAGTTAGAATTTGTAGATGAATTAAAATCTAAAATTTCTTCAAGTAATCTTTTATTTTCTCCTTTAAGAAATTATGTGAAGCCTTTAATCTCAAAAAAGTTTTATATAATTCATTGAAAGCATCTAAAAGTTCTTCATTGTCACTTACTTCATCTTGTGTCAGAAAGCACATATGAGCACTTTCCTTTTCTTCAATTTCTTCATCTGAAGATGAATCATCACTGTCATCCTAAGTAACCGCCAAGGCCTTCCTTTTCTTGTTGTTTTAAAAATTATTGAAATTGTTGAAGTAATTTGACTTTTGTTTACTTTTCAACAATGGACAATATTTCTTCATATGTCCTAGTTTATTACACTTGAAACAAAGTAAGTTATTTGAATTTGAACTTTTTGATTTGTACTTACCTTGTTTTATAAAATTTTGAAATTTGCGTGTAAACATGCTCATTTCTTCATCATCATCCGAATCTTCTTTATCGGAAGTAGCATTAAATGCAAGCCCTTTCTTGTTCTTTATTTTATCATCATTCTTTCTATCTTCAATTTGAACTTCATAAGCCATGAGGTTTACGATAAGGTTCTCAACCGTAAGAATTGACAAATCATTTGCTTCTTCGATTGCGGTAACCTTCTTTTCCCATTGTGGAGTGAGTGATCAGAGTATTTTTCTTGCCATCTCCAATTGAGTGTATGTTTTTCCAAGACCAATGAGAGAATTTGTGATATCGGTGAATCTTGTGAACATTTCTCCAATTGTCTCGTTTTCATTCATCTTAAATAATTCGAATTTGTGTACAAGAATAGAAAATTTAGATTCTTTAACCTTATTTGTACCTTCATGAGTTACCTCGAGTGTGTGCCAAATATCGTATGCAGATGTGACCGTTGATACCCTATTAAACTCATTCTTGTTAAGAGTACAGAACAATGCGTTCATTGCTTTTGTATCCAAATTTGCATTATTTCTTTGTGAAGTAGTTCATTCTGAAAATGAAGTTGATGGCTTCTCGTATCTTGTTTCCACAATGTTCCAAAGTTCGTAGCTAATTGATTGAAGGTAAATCTTCATTCGGCACTTCTAATAGTTGTAGTTCAATCCATCGAACATTGGTGGATAATTTGTAGAATGATCTTCTTTGAATTGTGATGTATTTATTGATGTCATCTTTCACCTTGCTCTGATACCAAATGTAGGATCTGAAATAGATATGCTAGAACACTAGAGGGGGGGTGAATAGTGTTTTTTTAAAATATATGCAAAGTAGATAATAAATTGTAATAAAGAATGGCAACAATCTCAAATAATCACAATAAAAAACAAGAGATTTTATACTGGTCCACCAATCTGGTGTACATCCAGTCCCCAAGCAAATCCCGCTTGAGATTTTTATTATAACTTTGAACCAATTACAAAATTAAAATCAAACCTGACCAATTTGTAAGTCCCTGCAAATTGCAACACCAATTAACAACACTTTACTAATTTTACACCAATCTCTAAACCAATAGATCAACCTCTCTCAAACCGAGGGAACTTTCCTTGAATCAAACAACTCAATTCCTATAAGCCTTGATTTGTAGTGTTGTGTAGCAGTGGCTTACTATAAGCCTTGATTTGTAGTGTTGTGTAGCAGTGGCTTAGGAATAATTTTAACTTCTGGAAATTGCCTAAATAATTTGTATTTTGAATGAGTAGCAGTGGCTTAGGAATAATTTTAACTTCTGGAAATTGCCTAAATAATTTGTATTTTGAATGATGATCAAAGGCAATTTCAGAAAAGATATTTTTCTCAATACTTAACAAAATCTGAATTTTTAACTCTTGAAAAATACACAAAGATTGAAGCTTATAGGTAGATAAAAATGTTACATTTTTCTGAACAAATAACCTTTATATAGCCCTTGAAAAGACAAATTTTTCAAACTTTAAAAACGTTTAAAAACGGCTATAAACTGTTTTCGTCAAAAGTTGCCTTCATCATTGATTTCATTAAAACTTCAAACGTTACAAATGAATTCAAATAACAAAAATAAAAATTACAACTTTCTTGAAAATAAACACAAGATCCGTTTATCGTCTCTTGCTTGCGTGGGTCTTTAGCCTGTGATGGGGACGTCGATATCCGTGGACTACCTGGCAATCAGATCTGATCCAGAAAAATTGGGCAGAGCTTCGTCGATCCGCGAGGAGATCTAGAAACTTGAAGCGCCTATCTCGGATAAAGCGAGATATTTGCTCTTCTTAGGATTACCGACGAGGGGTAATGCTAAGGAACGGATGCGGGTGATGTAGATCTGATGAAGAACTCTCTTGTGTTGAAGTGCTCGATCACTCTTCACTCCAGCAGGGCTTCGCCAATTCTCCAAAAATCCAGATCCTGAAAAAGTGAGGCCTAAGGCTTCTATTTATAGGCAACACCCCTGGGGCGTCCTCAAAAATCTAGGACACCCCTGGGGCGTCCCCAAAAATCTAGGACACCCCTGGGGCGTCCCCAAAAATTTAGGACACCCCAGGGGCGTCCCCAAAAATCTAGGACACCCCTGGGGCATCCCCAAAAATCTAGGACACCCCTGGGGCGTTCTCAAAAATCTAGGACACTCCTGGGACGTCCCCAAAAATCTAGGACACCCCTGGGGCGTCCTCAAAAATCTAGGACACTCCTGGGGCGTCCCCAAAAATCTAGGACATCCCTGGGGCGTCCCCAAAAATCTAGGACACCCCTGGGGCGTTCTAAAAAATCTAGGATACTCCTGGGGCGTCCCCAAAAATCTAGGACACCCCTAGGGTGTCTCCAATAATCCGAGACACTCCGCTGTAAATTCTTCGTCCGAACTCGGATTTTAGTGATTCGAAGTGCGTTGGAAGTCTGACGAAGAGTTCTATCAGCTCCAATGGTTGGATTATCTGTAGAACGAACGAGACACGAAAGGCGTTGTTCTTTTTGTAAATATCGTGGGGTTCTCTATTAGCCTGTGCCTTCGTTGTTCCGAAATTCTGTCAGTTCACGTAGTTCGTCGATTCACTTCAAACGTTCATTGACGTCAATCAAACTCCTGTGAACCGGATAGTGACGTTCATCATCATTCCTTAACACTGAGCTGTTCATAGAGATCTATAGGCAATTTTTGACGCCTACAGATACCCCCTCCAAAGCGTTCCGGACTCGTTTCTTTTATAGAAGAGGCTGGAATGCTTTGGATGTGATTGGTCTAGCCTTCAATCGGCGTAAAGGACCTGTAGTTAGCTTCAACTCTTGGCTCCTTCGATTTTTGGTCTATTCGATGCTTTGACGAATAACCGAAGTTCTTTCGGCGCTGCGTTTATCGCCTGGCCGTCATCGGAGTCTCGAGTCTACCACCAGTGAGTCGAGTTTGGCTTGTGTCATTGAGTTGACTTTGAACTACCTTCATCACGTTGTGTTGACTTAGGGTTTTAGATCACCGTATGTTGACTTTTTGCCGCAACACGTTGACTGGCGTTGACCTAGGGTTACACATTGACCGGCGTTGACCCTAGGGTTTCGAACATCGAATGTTGACTTTTTGTTGCAACGCGTTGACTGGCGTTGACCTAGGGTTACGCGTTGACCGATGTTGACCCTAGGGTTTCGAATGTCGAATATTGACTTTTTGTCGCAACGCGTTGACTGGCGTTGACCTAGGGTTACACGTTGACCGGTGTTGACCCTAGGGTTTCGAATCGATCAGTGTTGACTCTCATTGCAACGCGTTGACCGGCGTTGACCTAGGGCTACGCGTTGATCCGGCGTTGACCTTAGGGCTTCGAATCGATCAGCGTTGACTCTCATTGCAACGCGTTGACCGGCGTTGACCTAGGGCTACACGTTGATCCGGTGTTGACCTTAGGGTTTCGAATCGATCGTGAGGAGAACCAGTTTATACTCGTGTACTCTTGGGAGTTTCGGGAATTAGTTTAGCCTCGTGTACCCGTCGGAGGTTGACGGGTTATCCTTAAGAATATTATACATAATATTCTCCAGGAACTTCCCGTTCATTGTGAAAAATAGTTTAGACTCGTATTCTCATTGGAGTATACATACGAGTGTTGAATACGTCGAAAAATATTCGAAAAGAGGTTCGAAATGCATATGAATTATCTCCGGACCTCTCCACACGAGCGAGCCCACATTTCGCGGCCCACACGCGTATGAATCAACACATTAGGTTTGGGTTCGGTTCAGGGCAGATTTGGGTCCGGTTCATATGGGTTCGGTTCAACCAAGAAAACCCCCATTACAAAAAAACTGATTCCCCCTCTTCTCTTCCTTCTTTTCTTTCTTTCGGTCCCAGCAAGAATTCCGCCCCCCCTTTTTTTTCTCCTCGTTTTTTTTGTTTTGTTCGGTCCCCAGCAAGAGGAAACCACCTCCCCCCCTTTTTCGGTTTTGAGCTCTCCTCTTTCCTCAAGAGCTCTCCCTCATCAAGCCTCTAACCCATCTTCTTCAAGGTTTTCCTCTTCTCCAAGAGTTCCATCATCTTGACCTTGGCCGAAATTTTCATCTCCTCACAAGCTAGGGTTTGAGATTTTCTTCCTCTTCAAGCTTCAGAACTTGGGTAAGTCTCTTGCTTTGATTTTAGTTAGTTCCTCATGCTTTGGTTCAAAGATTGAAAACCCTAGTTCAATGATTTGGGGAGAAATCCAAAATTTGCATTGGGTTTGATGGGTTGGCCGAAATCTTTGGACTTTGTTGCATGCATTTGTGTAAAGAACTGAAGTTGTTGATTAGCACTCTTTGTTAGCCGAAATGTTCACTGTTCATAGCCAAAAACTACTGTTCATGGCCGAAAATGGAGGGGGCTTTTGTGTAAAAAGATGGACTAAACTTTGAGGGGGTTATGTGCAAATTTTAAGGCCGAAACTTGAGGGGGGTTATATGTAAAAGAGGGCTACAATTTGAGGGGTTATGTGCAAATTTTCGGCTGAAATTTGTAGGGGCTTTTATGCAAATATATGGCTGAAATTTTTGGGGGTGTATGTGTAAATATGAAACTGAAATTTGAAGGGATTTTATGCAAATATATGGCTGAAATTTGTAGGGGCTTTTATGCAAAATGGGACTGAAGTTTTGAGGCTTGGACTTTAGACACACTTGGCCACAACTTTGAAGGGTGTTTCATGCAAAAAGATCACAAATTATTGAGGGTTTATTTGCAAAATTGCCCATAAATGTTTGAGAGGGACTTATTTGCAAAAAGGGTAGAAAATCCAAGGCTGAAAACCAAGAAGTTTAGACCACAAAACTAAGAAAATCCAAGGCTGAAAACCAAGAAGTTTAGACCACAAAACTACGATCAAAGTTTTGTGAAAACCAAACCGAAATTTGTGGAGGGTTTTTTTTTTTTTTGGCAAAATTGGCTAGATTTTACAAAAGGGTTTATTTACAAGATTAACCAAAATTGTAGGGTACTGGGGGTGCTATGTGATTAGGTATGATGACCATGACCCAACTCGAGCGTATCCTTGACCCGAATTTAGCCTTGAACACGAAGGGTATTCTGGGTATTTCATCAAAATTTATCGCAAAAATGACAATTATTGTTTCGCATGCACGAAATTTGTAGGTTTAATTAGACTTCAATCATAAAATCTTGTTTATACATAGGATTTTAATTAAAGTTCTTAATTTCCCTTTTAAATTTCGCGTATTCATACTTTAGATTGTATCTGACTTGCTGCTTTTCATTGCAGGTTTCCGATGCCTCCACGCCGATCTCGACTTCCTAGGAGTCGATCCCATTCGCAGCCTAGCGAGGGAGAAGTTCCCGCAGCATCCTCCCCTCCAGCAGCTTCCTTTTTTGGGGGTGGGAATTTTTTTTATTTTTGTATCCCCGATTGATCCCTTCGCGGGTCATGAAGGAAGAACCGACACCCTCCTTCGCGGGGGTCGAGGTTTCGGACTTGGTGGTTCTGTTATACCCTCGTTTGGCCCCTTCGCGGGTCATTCGGGAAGGGCCAACACCCTTCTTCACGGGGGTCGAGGTTTCGGACTTGGTGGTTTTGTCATACCCTCATTTGGCCCCTTCGCGGGTCATTCGGGAAGGGCCGACACCCTCCTTCGCGGGGGTCGAGGTTTCGGACTTGGTGGTTTTTTCATACCCTCGTTTGGCCCCTTCGCGGGTCATTCGGGAAGGGTCGACACCCTCCTTCGTGAGGGTTGAGGTTTCAGACTTGCCTTGCTTGTCTAATTCAAGTCTTCTGGTATATTGGGGCGATTTTGTGTCGTCCTACACCTTATAGGTCGGTGTATGTTACCACGTTATTTACGTGATGATGCATACCGTTCTTCCAGTGTAGGACACTCAAAATCGTCTCTCCAATTATCCCGTGACTGATCTTATCTCGCTTTTTATGAGCTTTCTGACTCTATCCTTGTGTTTTGTTGCAGTCGAGTTCCCCGCGGGCAGCCTCCCTCCTCATGCTAATACTGGTTGTAGCCGGGAGGTCTTCTCTTCAGCTTCCATCAGGCAGGCCGTTAGTCCACTCCCTCAGTTTGACAGAGATGGCTCCGACGAATCCTGTCGTTTGATACAGGATGGAGGGCGTCATTGCTTACGCCAGCTGATTACGGACGCCTCCTTCACTGCAGATTCTACTTCCACTCAGACTTTAAAGAAGCCCGGTTTTCTGTTCGGTGATCACGCGGAGGATCCTGCTACGTTGACTCTTACCGATGAGCATTGGCTGAATCTTCATGAGGGAGCTCTCCTGTATATTCCCTCCATTCCTCGTCAATATTCTTTCACCCATTTGGAGGGACAGGCCGTGGAGCGACATATGTCTTGGCCTCTTACCTATGATGCTGAGCGAGTTCAGTGTGGATATACCTCTCATCATAAGATTCCTGGTTCTACTGGATATCATGATATCCGCGGTCTTCGACCAGGGATTATGGGTCTTGACACTGCACCCCCAGGCGAGGTATCAGCAGCTGCTCCTACTGTGAAGAATCGTCTGGCTCATCTTGGGAGAAGGTTACCTCCACCAGATTACAGATGCTATGGTTGGGCTTTCTCACAAGCCAAGGGATGGTGGACACGCATGACCAGTTACGTCTTGGGGCGCTGGGAGAAGGATTTGAAGAGCAGCGGATTGTATGCACCTATACGGGCCACCATGTACGGACTTCCGGTCAGCTACCGCTATTTCTTGGCGTTGTTGGAGACATACATGCCCGACAGTAACACGTTCATGACCAGCGGCGGAGAGTTAGGGTTGGCCTTACATGAGATGTATCAGGTTTCTGGTCTTCCAATGGGGGATTGTCCATATCAGGAGTACTTTCCCTCGAACCAGCAGTTGGGGTGGTTGAAGAAGGATACTCCCGACATGCATGATACTCTTTGGGACATCACTTGTCATTATTATACCTCCTTGATCAAGATTTCTCCTCCAGCGAAGAAGAAAAGGCAAATCAGCTTGAAGCAGTTTGCTGCTATCTGTTCCCTAATTTGGAGGGTGACTCTGGCGAGCCCCTTCGTGAGTTAGATGTCCTGACCCCTACCACCATTAATGAGTTGATGGAGAAGGCTGAGGCTCATTCTTACACCATTGCCCGTGCTGAGGGAGCTTTTCCTGCAGGAACCAAGTTTCGTTCGTTCCTCCACCGTGCACAGAAGTCCATCGAGCCCCAGACTCTGCTAGCAGGCTACATTGCCCTCTGGTTGAAGAAGTGTGTTGTTCCGTACCGGTCTTTAGACGCCTTACCTCTCGAGGTGCTCTTCCCCGCAGTTCAGCTAGCTTATGGGAGGGAGCTTTCACTGCTCCCAGCGATGGTTGCCGGCATCCATTGTGGGCTTAGGTATCTGGTCAGTGGTTTTACACGGGTGGGTTCTAAACCATCGACCGAGCTTACTTGTCCGAAGGTCGAGCTTCCTTATGCGTATCTGATGGCGTGACTCGTTCTTCACCATCCTGACTTGATGTCGGTGCCCAGCGTTGTTGATGTCCCCGTTCCTTTCGTGCAGCTGTTGGAGAGGAGCAGATGGCTCGGGAAGAAATTCGGCGATGCGCAACGAGAGTTTCAAGTTCGCAAGAGCTGGGAGTTCTTCAAGTGTTTTCCCCACTTTTCGGGTCGCTATGGTGATGTGCTGACTGATGAGGAGAAACCCAGAACTAATCGGACTGCTCTCGACGTTGGTTGTTTCCGCTGGTTAGTGAACATCCGTGTTGGGTATCTCGTTCTCCGGGTGAAGAATCATTGCCACATAGAGCCTTACCTTCCCTGCCGTTTTGCTCGTCAGTTCGGTTACGACCAACTATATGTTGGGAATCCGAGCCGTGGTTTGAAGGTTGAGGGGGGGCTTATTGATGGCGTACGGGCATGGCTATGGACTATGGTGGGCTGCACCGGAGCCCACTTTGCTCTTCCTTCATATAGGCGCAAGCCGATGATTACTTTCCTCAGTTGTAAGTGGTTCCTCTCCGCCAATGAATCCATAGGTGTGAGGAGTCTTTCAGAGTTAGAGTCTGAGCACTCGGTCCAGGTCGCTATGATGGCTGCTCGTAAAGCCGAGCTTGCTCAGAAACAGAAGAAGAAGTCTGCCAAACCTCCTCTCTCAAGCAAAGACGATGAAGAGCTCCTTCCTACTGACGATGATGACGAGACTTCTGAGGAGGAGTATGTGGATATAGATATTGACCAAGAAGAACTTGATGCAGGTTTGTCATACTCTTTGATCCTCTTTCTCAACTTCGATTGATATCAATGAAAGATCTGGTTTATTTAATGAAATAATCCTTATCATTTCAGGTAGGACAGCCGACGACCATGAGTCGCTCGCTTCCCGTCGTGCGAGATTCAGGCCTGGTGGCCAAGCTCCTACCCAGGTTGATACACGTGGCCAGTCCACGCACGAACGACCCGTTGGTTCTATGAGGGGTGATTTTCCGAAAAAGAAAAAGATCGCTCATAAACCACACGTTGGTCAGCGCTCCTATGAAGTGGATTTAGGAGGCTTCGCCGACAGGGAGGAAGGTAATACTTCGTCATTTTCATTGCTTTAAGATGACTTACCTTCTGGGATTCATAATCATGTTTTATGTTCCAGGGTTCTTTGAAGAGGGCGAACTCCCATTATCTCCCGTATTCACTGGTTCTGATAATATGGATAGCTTCATGGAGCAGATGTGCGACGCCCTTCGTGACGGTTCTCTGGGTATCGATCTAAACATTGATCTTGGACAGGTGAATAGTGTTGAGCCCACCGTTCCATATTCAGGTATAGCTACATCCGATGATACCCTCCTCAAACATGGGGAAAGAGAATCTTCTGTTCTTGCTGCAAGTATTTCTGAGCTTTCCCTTCTTCCTTATCTTCTTATACATATCTCCAACATTTTGGTTATCCTGCAGATGTCGCGATGGAAAAGCCAGCTGAGGATCAGATCTTTCATGATGTGGGCTTCGAGGAACAGAGGTGTGCCTCTGTACCAGGTTCCTCAGGACCCGACGCTGGATTATTAGCCGATATGTTGGCTGAGCATGCCACCAGAAGAACCGCGGGACCACCCATTGAGAGTGATTCATTCACAGGTATATATCTGATTCCCTTCATCTTGCCTGATCTTTTGTTTGACTAACGAAGGATTAATATTACAGCGCCAGTCATTGGGATTAACCCAATATCGATTCCCGGCATATCTAGCTTGCCTCGGAGTGACGGATTTGCAGGTACGCATACGATTTAGGGACATCGTACTCTTCTTTATTTATCTGACTTTTGACTAATATATGGGTGCAATCATAGGACCAGCCACCGGGACTGATACTCTTATGACTCCTGGCATTCCCCGGATACCTGAGGATGATGGACCTACAGGTATGCAGATGACCTTATCACCCCGATCCTCCTTATTTGTCTAAATTTTTATTTTGACTAATAAAGAAGTGCAACTATAGGACCAGCTGTTGTGCCTGATGCCACTACAGTTTCTGGGACTGATAGTTTGCCTGAGAGCGGTGTCTTTCCGCCACAGCCGAGAGGTATGATCGATTTGCCTACAGGGGTTGATATATCCTCCATGACTACTCCTGCAGTTACTTCGGAACCTGTCGGATCTCAGTCCGAGGGGACCTCCGTTGGCATTGGTATGCTCGGAATTTGCCTTTAAATTTTCTTATCGTATTCGATAATCTCTTAGCTTTCCACACTGTTTCTTGTAGGATCTCGATCATCTCTATATGAGCGTGTCCGCGCCCTCTTGGCTGATACCGATCCCGACAAAGACATTTTCCGTACGGACCTCGGCCTTTTTACCGTCTTTTATAACGGCATGATCGAGAAACTTCTTCATCGAGGATACGGTTTCGATCAGTTCAGGCGTTCTTTTTCTCGTCACATGCTGATGTTCAGAGAAGAAGGGTATCCAGAGTTGGCCGATTCCTTCACGGCCGTGAGGAAGTGGCTAGATTGAAGGAGGCCTTGAGGCACGCCGAGGAGTCCGTTACTCTTATTGCAGAAGACCTGGCTGGATTAGAGCGTTCTCGTGAACAGACGCTCGAGAAGCTGGGATCTACACAGGAGAGATTGATGAAGCTGAAGAATGAAGCCGCGGAGATCTTAAGCAGTTCCGAAGACTCTGTCCGAGCTAGTCTGCAGGCAGAACTTGAGCAGAGCTATGTAGACAGGCTTTCTAGTTTAGAGTCCCATGTTCTTAGCTGTCAGTTGCCTTCGGGCTAACGAGCTTTTTATTATATGCTTTTGACTTGATCTATTACTAGAGACTCTGCATTTGCTTCTTTCATGATATTTCTTTATTTACTTTGAACCCAGCAATGATAAGATTTACGGGATTTTTGGCAAACCCCCAGCCCTCAACGGGTTTGATATGCCTTTACCGATTACCGTTTGAACCGGGCTAGCATGCGGATTGTCTAGATCCGTTCCACATGTAACGTTGTGCTAAGAGAATTGCTTTTCTTAGACTTAATGTTATGACTTTGAATACATAGACTTTACTATTTCTTATAGGGAAAAGGTACCCCGCACCGCGTATTAGGCGATGACTTATCTCTTCTTAGGCTTCGGGATAAAATTCCCCGTGCTTAGACCATGGTGTCTTTTTCAATCGGCGAAAGACTAAACCGACAATGCGTGTTAGACATAGACTTTGGGATTTTTGGTAAACCCCCAGCCATTAACGGGTTTGATGTGCCTTTACCGACTACCGTTTGAATCGGGCTAGCATGTGAATTATTAAAAACCGTTTCACATGTAACGTTGTGCTAAGAGAATTGCTTCTCTTAGACTTAATGCTATGATTTTGAATACATAGACTTCGCCATTTCTTACGAGAATATGGCATCCGGCAACGCGTATTAGGCGTTGACTCATCCCTACTTAGGATTCAGGATGAAAGTCCCCAGAATTATACTCTGGTGTCTTTTTCAATCGGTGAAAGACTAAACCGGCAATGCGTATTAGACGTTGACTCATCCCTACTTAGGTTTCGGGATAAAATTCCCCGTGCGTGTGAGGCACGGATTATGGTGTTATTAATAACAACCTGCCACAATGTTGAATATGTGGTCTTTTGTCCTTTTTACGGTCAAGGACTAACCGGCAACGCGTGTTAGGCGTAGGCTCATCTCTATTTAGGAGTTGAGATAAAATTCCCCGTGCACAAAGTGCACGGATTGGAAGTTGGGAATTTTGTCTTTTCTCAGGGTAAAGACGGACTGGAAAATGGAAGAGGAAGAATTTTATATTCTATCTCCCGGCACTGAAGAGGAAGAATTTTATATTCTATCTCCAGTTGGAAAGGAAACTCAAGGTGGGATCTCCACCCCCAGAATCCGAAATGATGAAACTAAGAGTGGGATCTCCACTCCGAGAATCAGAAAGGTTCAAACGACCCTAACTTTTATAGGATTGGTCATTTTAATCAAAAGAATCCCTCATTCATTGAGGAGAAAGCCCAATTTCGACCCTAACTTTTATAGGTTTGGTGGAAAAAGAACAAAAGCAGATTTTTGTTTATCGAAAAGGAATGACTCGGTCTAACTATCTGTAGGTTTGACTAAGTGAGATTGGGAACAATCCTAACTTTTATAGGTTTGATTGCTCAATTTAAAGTGGACCTCTCGTTCATGGAAGGAATCGAGAGAGGAATTTGGCTTTGGCCCTAACTTTTATAGGTTTGACTTGAAAGCAAAGAAAGTGGAATACAGGTAGCAAAGAAAGTGCCAACTCGTATTATCACTCAAAGGAAGACTTTAATGCTAGGTGATTAGGACCTAACATGTTGAGTCTGAGAAATGCCAACGACGGGCAGATGGAAATATTGGTGGATTCACTGTCGTTTAATTTGATCAGCGGATGGTTTGGTGAGGAAAGATTAACCTATCAGAGGATTGGATCTCATCTCACAAAAATAACTCATAAGAGTTAGAGAATTTTGATAAAAATAAGAAGAAACATTCTGACATTCAGAGTTCGAACGTAGATTTCTTATTCATCAATTCTACAATGACTGGGTTATCCCTA